ATAGCATTTTCTGTTGCATATACATTCTCTTCTGAACGGGAGTCACTTGAATTTATGATTTGAAATAATGAACTTAAGGAGGCTTTAAATCAATCAATATATTAATTTAGATGTCTAAAAGGTCAATAAAGCCACCAAATCATGATAGTATAAAAATTATTATACCCGCAGTAGCCTCGGCATAATTTTCACCGCCAAATTGCGCGCAAACGCCAACACCATATGCAGCAGCTTGTCTAACATCGGATGCTAACAAATTATCACATCATTAATAAAAATAAATTAATTGCGATTTAAATTTAAAATTTATTCATTAAATACCTGGATCCAATAGGGAAGCAATCATCTTTTCTAAGAAATGATCTTTATAATTCCAAGAAGCTGGACCAGTAAATTCAACCACGTCATCAATAACACATAATGCCCATTGCCTTGCAGCAGAATTTGAATGTGCTAAAAAAGTTGTGACTATGGGGATCAATTTATCGAAATATAAGAGATAAGCATTTCGATGTGTCTTAAGAATAACATGTAATGCTTTGGAAAGTTCGCCAAGCACGCCTTCTTCGGTCGCCTCTTCTTCCAAGATACTGTCTTCATCTTCTGCGTCATAATCACCACTTTGCCTGGCTTGTTCTCGTTGTTTAAGCCTTGAATAATAATCTTGAAGTTGCGATTCTGTGGCTTTTGTAAAATTTTCCAGTTCATTAGGCGTTAAACTGTTATCACCAGCCGTCTCCAATGACTCATAAAAAGTGACATAGAGTTGCCATAAAAATGTTGTATCAGCTTCGGTTGAAATTACTTCTATAACTTTTTCTGCAATCCTATGCCACATATTCATAAGATATTCTTGAGTTGCGCCTCCCTTTTTTGCAGAACTCAAAAGATGCGGTATGGTAGCAGCAGCAGCATGTCGTACACCGTCATGGAAGTAAAATTTCAGAAGAGGAAGAACAATTTCCAAGACATTGTCTACATATGGTTGAAATGCAGCGCCAAGTTCTCGAGCGTAACAAATTAACATTTCCACGGCAGTACATTTTTCTTCTAGAACTGTAGTTTTAATACCAATTTGCTATAGACAAATAAAAATCATTTAGTTCAGAAAGTGATAAGTATAATTAGTGTTATATTATGTATATTACCTGTCCTTCAACCCCTACAAACTCCCATCCATCTTCCGCGGAATATTTTGATTCGACATCTTCATCAGCTGTAAATTAAATAAATAAAATAATGGGGGATACCATTGATTATTATATTAGAAATAACAAAATTCTGAATGTGTAACTCACGATCCAGTATTGCAAAGTCTGGTTTTAGTTGAGCGGACTGCAAAAGCGGACGCATGACAATCGGTAAATAGGGTACAAAGTCAGCTTCAAGAACTTTGCAAATTCTAGCCCAACATGCAATAAGATACGAAATCTGTGGATCATCGGGCTCACTGACATTTTCTAAAACATGCAATAACATTTATATTCTTAGTAAGCAGAGAATTTTATCGTGATTTTGAAGAAATGTCTATTGATACTCACGTTGTGTCTGAGCAAGTAATGCAATAAATTCATTTGCGTTGGCTGCGAAAATATCTTTACCAACAGCCAAAGCTATATTTTATTTATTATATAAAATTAATTTTATTAGCAAATGCTTAGTTAATTATATATCATCAGAGTTATATATTTACCAATAAGACTAGCACATTCCATTGCTTTGCCTCTTAAAAGACGGTATTCTTTTTGGTGAGCATTTCTCAAAACATTGATCAACAAAGGCATTATTGCACCATAATACTAAAGTGTAAATGCGCGAGTTAATTTGAATGCAAAATACGTAAATTCTGTAAGAAAGCACCAGTACCTTCACAAAACGATCTTCTGCGCTATCTGCAACAGTAGCTATAGTTGTTATAGCTTGTTCTTGTACATATGTTCTCACTGAATTTAAAAGAACAAGAAGCCTATCGAAAATGGTATCCAAATATGGTTCAAGTATTGATTTGTCGGAAGCCTCGCAAAAGTTAACTAAAGCAGCAGCTGCATGCGCTTGTACCCTTTTTTAAAAAAATAAAATATGATATAGGAAATATCACCATTAAATTAATGAATATATCAAAATTATTATACCTTGATTCCGGCGCCTCCATTACAGGAATAAGATTCGTGAGAACAGGTTGATGAAATTGTTTCTGCAATGAGTTTTGAAAATCAGTTGACATTTGACCAATTGCGTTGCAAGCCGCGTAACGTACGCGAGGATGTGGGTCACGTAGGAAAGGTAACACAAGTCTAAAATTTTTATATATCAAATTAATAATTATTTTCTATAGACTTGTACATTTAGAAAACAGCAGCAAAATATATACTCCACGATCTTTCCAAGTTCAGCTTCCATGATTTTTACACAGCCTTCTCCAATGGCTGAGATTGCCATCAAGGCGGCATGTCTTTGCTCCCATTTATCAGAGCCTAACATTGTAGGAATGTATTGAAAAGCAACAGGCAGAACTGCTTTGCCACCTAATAATTGGAAGAACCATATAAAATTATTAACAATAAGCAAAGTAAGAATTCCATTATATAACAATCTTAATAAGCAGCTTTACTTACCTAGGTAGCGTGCTAATCGGTCCATAGCATGCTCCCCGATAACGTAATTTTCATCATTATCGTCATCTTCGAGCTAATTATAAAGATTTTTTTAATATTTTTGCTCAAATTTCATTGTATATGCTAAATTATCAAAAAAATGGATAATCCATTACATCCTCTGTCGTGTACCATTCTTCAGAATCATCCAATTCGGTCATCATTTCCAACGCTATCGGGATAACGTGCGCACAGAAATCGGACGTTTTACGCATCATCGACGGAGACGCCTCAGATAACGTGAGTAAAAGTTCGAGAGCAGTTTGACGAGTTCCATCTTCCAGTGATTTATCTTTCGTTATATTAATCGCAAAGGTTGTAACATTAGGGAGAACTGGACGGAAGACTCTTGGCAAATTTTCGCCCAGTTCGATAAACACCATTATTCCATCGACCAAACCATCTTCATCACGTTGTGATACAAGAGGAGCAAGCACCTTTTTGTCGCAAATATTTTATTAATATAAATATCGCTCGTCAAATAATTAGAATAAAACTTTTTTTATACCCCAAGCATTAATGGCATTAATTCAGCAAAAGCATTACGACTCGGTGGATCTGTTTCTAACATGAAAGCAACAGCAGATTTAAGTGCCGCCATGCGAACCTAAAACAAAAAGATTCACGAACTTAATAAAAAATTAAATTTTCTTAGCAAAAAGAATAATTATTAAAAGATTGTACTAACAGTAGGACTGTTAACGTCTTGCAAGTTTACGGAGAAAACTTGTTGCAGAATATGGATAGGTTGATCCGTTATTAAATTAGGCACAGCTGAGAAAATGCGAAAAGCGGCTTCTCTGTGTTCAACAGAAATGGATTTACTTGCTTCAAAAAGAGCAGGAATAAGCTCATTCCATTTCTCTAAAAAAGACCACATTGAATTATAAAAATTTGATTTTGACCAAAAATACTCAAATTGCCCAAAACTACTCACGCCCTTTCAGGAAAGAATTCTTAGCCACCTCAGAAACAGCATCACAGACTTTATGACGCACTGTATTTTCTTGCTCAACCAATAATGACATTAATAAATCAGTTTTAATCGTTTCTCTATTTGCTTCTTGGAGAACATCCCATATACTTGTTTCTTCCGATTTTGAGGCATGATTTGGAGCTTGTTTGAAGGCAATCCTCCGCAATAATACGAACGAGAATGAACGGCTCTGTCAGGTCAAAAAACAGTAAATTGTTGATATTTGAGTCAAGGTTGATAATCATTTTGCTATAATAATGTTTTCAGGCTTTATATTCTCACATGTGTTGCTTCGTGAGTTCTTCCAAGCTGTGCGAGTGAAAGTAATAATAAATCGGGTTGTTGGGCTATCCACTGTTCATTTAATTGCTGTTCGGCGGTTGAACGTAGTGTATTATCATTTGAGGCCAAATTCGATAGAACCTGGTTTAACTGTGAAATTATCTCAGTGGGAATGTGAGAAGCGGTTGTCATGACTGCAAAGTAAAATGACCCATAAAGAAAAAAAATCGCGTAGCAATCAACATTTGCCCGGTAAGTGAATACATCCAAATACAATAAATTTAGTAATATGCACAGAGAAAAAGACCGATTAAAAATCGACACTTTAATTATACCTTGTTAATGTGCGTGTTTTTTTTTACTCGCGAAGAGGGAAAAACAAGTATGAAATATAAAAATTGGGGTAAAGTTGAGTGGTGCCGAGCCACAATTAACGCCACTGCAGCCACATCGATGTCAAAAAATATATATATAGTCAAAAAGAAATCGCGCTCAATTCAGCAACGTGACATCTTGAAATTTAATTACCGATTCATAGCCCTGACTGTATATAGACAAGTGCATTTCTTATAACCAAATCTCGCTATATATATCCATTGATCTGTTTCATTATTATTATGAAAATTTGGTGTTTTGATGGCATCTTTGGGCATGAGAATTTTTTATATAGGGGACCGGGTTTGACTGTATACACTAACGCTAATAATAAATTTTATTTTCATATATGAAACAGGTTGGAAAAGCTTTGGAATCTTAGTCTTTCTAGTATATTTGTCAAAATTCCAGAATAAATGGATGAGTAAAACAAATTAAAAAATGTTACAATCTGTAAAAGTATAAAATATATGGTAAAGCTATATATAAGCACCTTTTGGAGAATCTTTCAACACAATAATATCAATATAAATGAAATAAATAATTTGTTATATCAAGTTTTACATATAAGTATAGGCCATATTACAGAATTAGAGGAAGCCAGAAAATACATTTAAAAAAGTTATGCATTAAAGGAGATAGTTTATAATAATCAGGCATATGACAAAACTAAACTTTTCAATATGTTTCAAAGTAAAATAAACATTACCTAATTAAAATTCCATAACTTCTGCTTCCCCGTCATCACTAAATTCGTCGTCGTCATCTTTTTCTACATCTTTTTGAATAGCAGCCTCGTCACTCTCTTCTTTCGCCTTCTTTGACCTCTTTCGTTTTTTCGATGACTCACTTTGTTGACCTCTTGTCATATTTTCAACTCTTCCAAGTTTCCACATCTCATATGGCTTCATTGAGGAGATGGGAGCGGATGCAATTACGGATTTGTGGATGTCCCGACGGGTCACTAAATTATTTAATTTATAAGAACAGAATAGCTCCTTTGAATTATATTACAGTAAAATCAAATGAGTAATAGTAGCATACTTGCGCGATATAATACAGCTCGACAATTTGTTGAGATACAATCTTTTGATACCTCTTGATTCATACCCATTATTGTGCCTCTATTATTGGTTGAAAATCATTAATTATTTTGTTAATACAATAATAATAATCAATATAAAAATTAGGATTAGTTATCACTTAAAATAATTTGTACTTTACAGATTTACAATATCATAAGGCCCACGTAATTCCATTGCCTTTTGTGCTCCACTAGAAATAATAAGATTCTTTCCACGTGTTACTCTGACAAGATTTTGGGCGTTACTTATTAAATGACGACGCGAAGTTGAATCTATATATCATCAATATTCAAATTTAATAACTTGTATCTATTTTGAATTATTAATATCAAGGTAATAATAAAAAACAAAAAAATTACCTCGAATTGCAGGCGCATAACATATTTCAAAATAAATACCACGTTCAATTGCTTTCGCCAAAGTCCCGTGTTTCAAATAGAATGGCAAACGCGTTCCAAGCTCTAGTGAAATTATATCCACATCGTAATTGTTGCAAGCCGTCTGGAATAACTTTTCATTCATTGGTTGCACTGCGAGAACATCATATGTTGATATTATCTGATTTGAGGGAGTCTATATATACATTAAATATATAATATATAATATACTGCGAGTATTTGGAATGGGTATGTGTTGTGATTTAAAAACAATGAAGCTTTGAGAAAATCAGCTTACTATATTGTAATTTTGAGAAGGATCATCAATAATAACTGTTAAGCGCGTCAATTGTTGTATTGCCAGAGATTTTTTATTATTGAGTAAAGAAGACGATGAGGGAACAGACGCAGTTGCATGTATATCATATGCTTCAATTTTCTTTATAGGGTTTGCCATCTAAATCAAACTTGAAATTGTTAGAATTAATAGTTTATAGAATTTTATGCCTTAAAAGCCTCACTTTAGCGGATTTTTTGCCTGAAACAATGTAATTGTACGCGACTACTTGATAGCCGACTATTAAATAATAAAGACAAATCAGACTTCATGTGATGTAAGACAAGTTCTTTTTAACTACTAACTAAATAAAAACGTAGAAGCTATCTACAAATGAAACAGCTAAGAATTTCTCATAGAATTTACAAATTCTATAGACAAATAAGCTTACACCAGATGCAAACTGCTTATTTTACGTACAATTTATCAGCATTTCTATACTCTTTCGAGGCTCAACCTGAGGATTCATCCCAGTATTCAAATTGGATTGAGTTACTGGGTAGACAATATTCAAATCGTAAAACATTATGACAAGATAGAGATATAGCTATTCCGAACAGTCTGAAATTTTGTTCGTCGATCAGCATTGTAACATCTAACTAATAATCAAATATGGTAATCATAATTAAGATGACATGAACCAATCAAATTAGGGAATTAACTACATATTATTAGAGGATTATAACATCGTTATGATACAAATCTAGCGTTATGCAAACTTTTCAACAAACCAAAGAAGCAATAGAATCATGCATTCGTATTTGCCTTTCGGTACTTATGAACTTTGGCAACTTTTGTTTGAGTTTTGCGCGTTACTTTACTGATTTACTTTTTATTTACTATGGCAAATCAAGGAAAAGTCGAATGACACCGACTGCATTAACAAATTTACAAATTTGCTTGAAGACGCATTATCAGAGAACTCACCACAACAACAACAACCTTACTACTCTAATAGAGAAAAGACCGATTTACTTGAGTGTGTTTACCGAAATTTAGTTTTAATAAGTGAGGAAAATAACAAAGATAATAAAGAAAAGGTAAAATTTCAATCATGCTAAATGATAAAATGGTATTGTTTATTTAAAAATTGTGTTAATTATTTTAACAGATCACTCTAATCAAACAAACATCATGGGAGATTTTCAATATCGTATTACCCTATCTAACAAATTTGTTCGATCACGCCGAGGATGGAGAGACCGCCAACTCAACAACTAGGATAGCGCGACAGATCCTTGAGGGAATCGCGAAATATAATCCACCGCGAGAAATGATACTTTTGATTCTTGAGAAATTCAGCTTTATTGATTGGGAGAATTTCGAGAAAAGTTTCAGGCAGGTGATGTGTATTATTGAAGCAATGAAAATCGGTGGGTTTTGTTTTCTTTTTCTTTTTATATTTGGATTACAAGTTTTAATTGTTAATTTAAATTTTTCTAGTTTTTCCTCTTTTTGATCGAGATGATGTGTCGAAATTTTTGCCGGATACAATAAAAGCTCTAGTTCGTGCTCTATCACAATTATCTATAGAAAAGCATAGGCAAGAAAGCGTTATTGAGAGTGTTATAGAATTTTGTGAAATCCTGGTCTCATTAGTAGAAGTTGATTATAAGGTAACAAATGGGAGAAGAAATAATTCAATTAAAAATAACTCTATTGAATTTGATTAGTTTGTATCATATTTCTTTATTTAAAGTCATTATTTTCAATAATAATCTAGAATGTTTCAATAACAGATCTTCAAAGCCAACACAACTCGAACTATTACCTGTTAAATTATCTCTTCCTCTCGATATTTGACAAATGTATAACACCGATAAATTTTGAGATGGCATCAACTTATTATGAGACGTTTTATCCGCGATATTATAATGTACCAGGACGAGAGAAACCTAGTAAGAGTGTGAGAGTGGATGATAGGACACGATTGAACCGTTTGGTGGTATGTGTATATATATAAAAAAGTCGTGTTTAATTCAACAATTAGGTTTTTCTTTGTTGTTGGGGTCATCATTGTTCAAGATATATATAATATATAATTCTGATACAGCGTTTAGCTATCAAAGCAGGCATTGCGATTGATCAGCTACTTAGTTTTGTAATAGATTCGACGTATTTGGGTAATTATGATTATTCTATATTCTTATTATTACCTTTTTATATTTAAAAAAAGTAATTATTTAATTTGATATAGAAGAAGAAAACGAAGAAGAAACAGCAGCATCAGAAATAATAAAAGAATGCCAAATATCATCAAACGGAATATTGATCTATCTGGCATCAATGATATATTATCAAATAACTACCTCTTCGTCAGATTCCAAAAAACCACAATCATCATCACAACTAAAGATTGTTTTGCCCTTGATTATATCGAGCGCTTGGCTGATCAATAAAATTATACCGGTTGCATCAAACGGGTTTTCAAACGGGTTTCCAAAGTAAGCCTTTATAGGGAAATTAGTGATTCTTTGATTTTGTTTAAATATCAATTGTTATTACCAGAGATGTCGCGAATACTACATTATCTGATAAGATATTGCTGGTCCTGTTATATTTTACCGATCGGATTGAAGAAGGAACTATAACTAGTGAATACTTGGAAAAGGAAATAAGCGATACTAAGATCACTATTATGACTTTTCTTCAGGTATACTATACCGAATATTATTTCTATTTAAACATATTTTAATATTAATAAATATTTTAATATTGTTAATGATTTCATTTAGTCAATTGCAAGTTTTGCCTCCACTTGTCCAAACTCGCAACAGAGATTCGTTGCTTTTCGACTATTGTCACGTGTAATCGATATATGCTCAAACGACGTGAAAGCAATAATCTTGAATGAATTGTTGATAAATTGTCCGTTCGAAACAATGAAGACCGCCACGATAAGTATCATCAAGGAAAATATTGCGTCAAGTCTTTCAAAAGTTTATGATGCTGAGGAGTCTAAATCACGTAGAGTAAGTAAATATTGTATATATTCTGTATACCGTTTTTTATATATTATATTGATGTTGATCTGAATTATTATTTAGCCGATTGGCTCAATTTTCTCGAGCTCTTTTGTCGTGACAACATTTATACCGAAAATTCTTCGGTTTCAACAATCTCAGCCTGAATTTTTACGGGATGAGTCTGCGTTCACGGAAAAGTATAGTTATATCATGCAAGGATTGAATTTTTATTACTTGCTTTTATCCAAGGATAAGGAAAATTTGGTATGTGTAAATATTTTTATTTTTACGTAAGTCTATTGATTATCTATTCATTCAGTTTGCGAATGTATAAATAATTACACGTTTTATATCGATAATAGACGACAGTCTGGGACACGAGTCAAATTCGTGACACACAAAAAGAATTCTTGGACCCGTTAAGAGAAGCAAGTGGTCATTGGATCAGCGTTTATCAAAGTAAACTTGAGGAATTAAAAAAGTCGATAGGTATTTAGTTATTATTTCATATCGATACTTTTATTTTCAATATTTTTCGATTTTTCCTTTTATTGATTTATCATTATTAAATTGATAAGGTGAAGACACAATTACTACAACCACCACCACTACAGAAGAAAATGCTGATAAAGAAGCATCGGGTAGAGTGGAACTAGAAATTCCTGTGAATGATATTGAAGCAGGAGAAGAATCACATCCACCACAGAAGAAATTGAGTCCATTAGAGGAACTACAAGTAAGAACAAAATCAAAATTTTCTTAGATTCATACATTACTTTATTAACACGAATTTGATATTTTCGTCAGATGATTGAAAGTAAAGTAATAAACATGCAACTACTCCAGAATTACATTGATCAAATAAACAACAAAGTTTTAGAGAAACGAGAAAAGGGAAAAAATAATACTTGAATTCATTCAATTAAAACCGATGATGTTATTTTTTGTGGTTCATAGAATTTTGAATACCATTTTATAGTCAGCCAATAGCTAATTTCATAAAAATAAAATCGAACATTATTAATCAACAGAACGCTAACGCTAAAAAAATAATTTACTTGTCTAATTTTAATATCATTTTTTAACTTTATCATTCGTGTCTTTTTTTATTCATCATAGCTGGTGATTAATAGTTCCTCAAAATCGAAAATTTTGACTATTGATGGCGTTATGTAGGCTGTTTGTTTGAGGATACACAAAATTTCTTCTGTCCAAAATAAATTCTTTAAAACTGCAGGGTATAATTTTGTTTGTCGATCATTTTTATTACAATCCAAATTTAAGATCGATCATTCTATTTCCAATTTTGGAAACAATGTACAGTCATTCTCCAAATATAACGAAGCTTTTTATAACGAACACAGGATATAACGAACTCAATTAATTATTAGTTCGCTATATAAATATAGTAATTTGATATAAAGGACTCTTATTAATAGAATCGTACAGTTCTTTATAAAAATCTCTATACAATCACACCATTATTTTGACTTCTTATAATCACATGATATAGAAGGAAGACTGAAATATAATATTTGAATATAAATAACTTTCTTTATAATCACACTATTATACAAAAAGATTCACTGATCTTTGCAAATAATGAAATATAGATATAAGTTGAACATTAACTTGAATATAAGAAATCAATATAAACTAATATTTTAATTTCTTCAAGTATAATTAACTTCATAATCACACTATCAGATCCAATATTTATCTTCAATCATAAAAATCACATTATAATCACACTTTTTGAATCAATTATAATAAAATTACTTTTCTATTATTATATTAATAAAATTCTGTTATAAGCACACTTTTTGAAGAATCAATTATAATAAAATCACTTTTTTATAATTATATTTATAATAAAATTACATTCTTAAAAAAATTATTATTGGATGTTATTGTTTTAAATAATATTTTGTAATTAATTTTATAATTTTATTTATGTTATAACTTAATAAATAATAAATATTAATTTTAAAAATCAAGTTATCTTACTTGGTATCAGAAAAATATTGATTTATTTAATAACTAATATTTTTAATAATAGTAATATATCTTTAATAAATAATTAAATAATAAATATTTTGATAGAATTAAGATAAATTTTTAGTTTATTAAAGTATTGATATTTGTTTTAGATAATAATAATTTATATATTGTTAGTACTATTTGATATATAATAATGTTATAATATCTTATATAAAATGGAACAAGTAGAATTTATATTAAATGAATATTATGCAATAAATATTAGAGTTTTAATTATATTCAAATTTTTTGTTTTTTAAAAAATATAAAAATAAATTATTTTTTAAATATTTATTTAACTCGAATAATTTTGAATTAAATTTCGTTTTACTAAAGATCATTTATTTAAAAAGACAAAGAATTTTTCCTATTAATAAATATTTATTATTATTAATAATAATATATTTGTTTCTCTTATTTTGATTCACATGTATATAAGATGAGTTGTTCAAAAAACTATGATCAGATTTGTTATTTAAATAAACAAATAATAATATGTGTGCACAATTCATAGATCAAATCCAAAAGCCAATCTCATATTAAATAAAATAAAAATAATGATTCAAACTATCAATTATCCAATAAATAATTAGTAGCTTTTACTAAATCATTATCATATTTTTTCAAAGCATCAATAGCTTGTTCCCTCGAGAATCCCATATTTACAAGCTGCTTAAGAGCTTCCGGATTCTCGTTATTCTCATGAAATAATTTCTCTGGATTGGCAAGACTGCTATTACTATTACTATTAGTATTAGTAATAATGGGAGAAGTAGATCTTGACCTTGGAAGTTCTTTGGGCGGTCTACTTGGAGGTATTATGGTTGTGGTTGTATAAGCAGAGGAGTGTGAAGCACTTCGACCCCGAGAAAAAGATCCTGTATTTGTTGTCGTGGGTGTAATTTGAATAGGCGTTGTTAGATACTGTGCAGGCGAATATAATTGTGATGATGAATTAGGACTCGATGGGTTGCTTAGCGTTCTCGGATCATTATTGGTTGTTATTGTAAATGAAGAATTGGTCGTTGTTGTATTCTGTGGATTATAATTATTCATTGGTATTGAAGTGGTAGGATAACCTCCTTGGCGAAGTAGAGGTTGCGGTGCTTCTTGTTGTTGATGACTTTGACGTATTTCAATGTTGTTCTGTGAAATAAGGATAGGATCATTAATTGGAGGTGGTCTTGTGTGTTGAACAATCTGTTGATGAATATTATGATGAGGTTGAAGATGATGATGTTTTATTCCATTTGTTGGATTAAGATTTTCTACCACATTAAATGGTGCAGCAGTATTTGTTTCATTTTTATCATCTTCTATTGTGTTTGAAAGGTCCCAAGGATTTATTGTTTTTGTTACAGTTGCTGATAATTTATCCTTAAAAAATATAACGAATTAATAATAATTAAGATGAAATAAGAATTTAAAATAACCAAAAAAAAATCATACCTCTTCTGTTTTTAATTTCAAACGTTCCACCACATGGTTAGGTAACTCATCTGAAGCCGAACGCCCACGCACACCAGTAGTAAAATTACTAGTGTTACTACTACTACTATTATTATTATTATTATTATTATTACTATGATTACTATTATTAGTATTACTATTCTTAATGCTGCCAAGAATTGAACCAGAACGAGGATGTTGCGAATTTGCAACCGGTTCCGGAGTTAAGATTCTACGATCTGTATCCAAAAACCCCGGGGCAATTTTCCGTGCCTCTGCTTTTTGTTTTTGAATACGTTCCTCATGTAGCATGCGAATTTTTTCAGAGCGTATTGCAACCTTTAATGCGGCCGCTTGTCGCTCTCGTTCTAGTTGATTGATCACGGATCTTTCTAATTCAAAATCACATGGTTGCGGCTGCATTCATTAAATTTAGTGGGTTTTTTGTTAGATTATTCTTGTACTTTTCGAAAGATGATGCCTGTCTACTACTACCCACCATTGGTGGTAAATCACCAGACAGATCAAAATCATGCGGAAGACTAATCTGAAAATATTCCAGTATCCAAAATCAAATTACAAAATTAGTATTAATTAATCAAATGCAAAAGCGAATAAAACAAATGAAAAAAATACCGGTTTTAGTGATGAAAACTGTGGTGCTAGAATCAAAGGCACGCCTTGAGTAGCAGCATATATTGAAGAGACATTACTAGCATCCATATTGTGTGTAATTTGTTTTTACTAGAGAAAACAGGAGTAAAATGGAGTGGTTTTGATTATTTTTTAAATTCCCCGATTTAACGTGATGTTCGTCGTACATATTTATTTATTGATGCTGCATGACGATATCATTAAAAGTACAGTATTTTTTTTTACAGACACGCACATGTAATAGTGATAATGATATTATTATTAACCATATCGATATACAATAATTCATAGCATAGTTTTAAAGAGTAAAAAATAATCAAGAATCTGTGCCAAAATATCGATCTAAAAATTGATGATAATAATAAATAAGTAGCTTTAAATCAAAATTCATCAATAAAATATAGTTAATACTTACCTCCAAAATTTCCCATCCCGGGTTCAATATACAAAGTACTCTCATTAATCTTTAAGTCGACCATTGAGGTGCACACTTTTACTCTTGGAAAAGCGTTAGCAATCGCGTGGAGTCCTTGAGGTGTTGCAAGGAATGTCAGAAAAATGATTCGTTCCTGCGTATAAATTAAACATAAAACATATATCAAGAATGAATACAAACAAAACCTCTTGATGACTGATAAGAATAAATAGCATAAAATAGACAGACCTCTGGTACGTTATGATCCAATAGGACACGAATCGCCATTAAACCGGCGGCTCCGGTAGCTATTTGTGCATCCTAAAATATATAGGTTATTAAAGTTAACAGATAATCATATATATGAATCAATAAAAAAAAGATAGGTTATAAAATCGGATGTACCATTAAAAGAACATAACACTGATTTATGTTACTTGGTAGCTTCAGGAAATGAAGCTTTTTTTTTAAAAAAAAATTTGATTAGATACTCTAATAGTATAATAATAAATGTGATTTTATTGCTTTAAACACCTGTGGTTCTCCAGTATGCGGATTAGATTGAATAAGAATCTTCCCGATTAACACGTCTTTATGAACGCGTCGAAGACCATTTTCCATTGTTGCGCCAGCACGTAAAATAGAAACTCCACAAAGCTAGTTGTATTTAGTTATTAAGAGAGAGAAAGAGATATATATGCGTTGTGCCTCAGATGACGATTTGCGCGAGATACCGCTTCGCGTGACAACCTAACCCTAACCCTAGTAGTTCTCCTATCCTAATTTAGGCCAAGCGACATCTCACACAGGGAGCCATCTGACGCACGATAAACGTTGATTTATGACATTGATACCTGCGCATCAAGTTGTTTCCCCAAATAATTTACGTTCACTGGAGTCGTGATTTCTACGTCTTTAAAAGGAAATTCTTCTAACCCACTAGATTAAAAAAAAATAAAATTTAAAATTAAATAAAAAAAGCGATTTTATAGTCATTAATTTATTTACCGTTCAACCACCAAAGTAGCCAATCTCTCAGCATAAAATATAAAATCATCTCGTTGTGTTGCACAATCACGAATTATCGTGTGGATGCCCTTTCCGCCATAAAAAATTTTACAAAAGTTCCAAAACCAACGATATCTTTCTTTATATTAGCAATCTAAAAAATAAACAGATAAAACGTAACAATCAAATTATTGCCTTTTACCTTTAACTGCGGAGTCTCTTTAAGCACAATAACATTTGCGGGCACCTCGCCGTTACACTCAATTTTCGCTAGCTCCCATCGAAAACTAAGTCTTCGTTCATGTAGTTGTCGCTGAATGTGCTTTGTTATGAGATCAATCGCGACAATGTTTTCGAGGCCTCGTGGGATTATCTATTTTATTGTTGTTATTCTTACTCCGTCATGATGTCTATTCATTTATTGCACGCGTTACGTTCTTAATCAATACTTACCACATCTGCATTTTTCAGAGTAGGATGAATAAAATCATCATAAGATGGTTTCACGAATCGGGCATATTGCTATCATCACATTAAGAGAAAATTAAAAGTATGTATGTAAAATTGAAATCGTCAATTTAAAAGTAAGTTTGCTATTTACCTGCAAAACACCATGTAAATCACGACCTCGTTCACTGATATCTCGCTTTACTTGAGGATAAATCAAAGAGAAATAAGCAACGAGAATAGAGAGAAGAAAGAATCTACATTATGGCAATGTTAATATTACGTACATCTACGAGCGAGTCTAATATCTGGGTCTGTGTCGACAAAAATCTACGCAACAAGATTTAGAATTGAATGGAATTCAAAAAAGGAGCCATAAACAATGAAAGAAATTACCTTTAGTTCCATCAGATCCATTATTTGCTTGTCATATAATGCGAAAATTCCCTCGAAAATAATCACGTTTGCACCATATATTGTTGCAGTTGCCGGAAGGCTAAATAATAAATGATCAGTAAATATTTTTTAGGCTTAATAAATAGTAAAGATATTCATTAACTCACCGAGAATGTGTTACGAAATCATACAATGGTATTTCAACTCTTCTCCTATTTAAATATATCTAATTACTCAAAAAATCTCCTACTTTCTTTTCAGAAACTTTTATTTACCCTTCTTTTAAATTCTGTAGTGTTTCCAATAACAGATTATAATCAAATGAGTTCGGATGATCGAAATTATAGTCACTAAAATTAAAAAATTAAGAAAAAAATCGATCCATCCATAATAAATCATGACATAATTATTGTATGGAGAAAGGTTACTTGTTATATGCGGCAGTTTTTTGTTCTGGAGTCAACGGCTTATAAAATGAATCCATGCTTAAAAGAACTACCCATGGTGCATTAAGATTCTTTATTATTCGTCTAAAAATCAAAAGCCAATCTTTTTTATTTTCATCACATTCGCCTTAATCATTCATTCATTCATTCAATAATAACACATTCCAACTTACTCTGAGACACCAGTTTTTCCGCTAGCACTCCCACCTAATTAATCAATCAAAATTTAACTCATTATGATCGATCGCGAATCATGAATTAAAAAACAAGAGAAATTCTCATCGTCCTTCATTTTTCTCCTCCCAGAATTATCATTACTTTATTAACCTGCTACACCAATTAAATAAGGCTCAAAAGACTTCCCATCAGGTCTTGAAAATGAAATAAAAATAAATAAACTCTCATTTCATTAATTATTGATGCAAGTAATATGCGAAAAATACCTGTACCAAGGACTATTTTATATAATAAAAATAAATAATTTGTTAATAATGATATGAATAAATAATAAACTTTTTTCTTTAAGATACTCACAATCTACCTTCACCTGTCAAGTAAATGTTCTTTCTGTGTTGTTGCATATTAATATTAACGTTAATAGTCTTTTGATCTTGGTATGCAGTTGTTTAATTTTGTCTCGTTTCTATCCAATCCCGATTTTGATGGTCACATTTTATGATATATAGTGTTGATCTCAACTCTAGAATAATGGTAAGAAAGAATGCCACCTCCAAGAAGTGCTTATTTGATAAGTTTTGTTGTTTTCACGGTTTCTTTCGTGTTGTCGATTGCCTCGTTGTTATTGCCCCGTTGGTAAATATTTTCTCAGCGTTGGGAAGGATCTATGGTGGGGAATATAAGTGTGCGTATTATATAAGAAACCGGTGAAAGGCAAAAGATAATTTCAACGATACATCTACTATCATATAGGCTATACTTTGAAAGTCCTAGACCGCATTGGTCAGTTACAAATTATGGTCTATTCACGGTAGGTAAACTTTCACCTCAAATATGATTATATAAACTTTTGGAATTATCAAAATTAATCTTATATAATCTTCGTGAAAGAAATGCTCAACAATAAACAACGGTTGCCGCCCATTCCCATCAGAAGAATACGGTGATTGTGACGAAGAAGGCTTCTGTAGTGAATGGAGAGCCGCGTCCTATGATTTAATTGTCAGTATAATAATCGGTGGGATCGCGTTATTATATCTACTCTTTTTTGTGTTGCTCAGATGCGACCCTTCCTCGCAAAGAGCTGATTATTTGGTCGCTGTGATGTTCGCATTGAGTGGTAAGTATATTGATCACTTGTATGTGGCATTTTTTGGTCTATTTATACTTCAATTATGAATAATTATTTGTGATCTGTTTTTTTATTAGCCTTTCTACAAATAAACACGGTAGTAATAGTCTCCTATCTTAAGAACAATTCTTTTTTATTCATGTACGAGAGTTTCGATCTTAGTTTCGCGTTAGCGAGTGTTTCAACGGGTTTGAGTTTCGTTATTGTGATTTTTTTGGGAACGAGCGAGATTTGGGCTCGTTGGCAAGATGTTCAAGGAGGATATGAGCAAATTGACTAAATAATTTATTTACTTGTGGAATTTTTCTTTTTTTGAAATTTTAAAATATTTTATTATTCGATCTTGACATTACTATAACTATTTATATAGTCAAAGCTTTATCTACCAATACTTATTATAATGACGTCTAATTAAAATCTCTACATAATGATGTCAACTTCTAATAAGTTTCCTTCTATGTAATGATTTTTTTTTATTAAATTCTTGATATAATAATATTTGCAGGATTTCTTAATAATTATCCCGGCCATATCAGTATAGAACTTTGACTATACGTGCAACTTCTTGATAAAATAATACCAATTCCAAATAAATAAATAAGATGTATTTAGGGGATAAATGCATTCTAAATTATATATAAAGTAAATAATATAATAAATAATAATATAATTATTCCGTATATTGAACAAGTATACATATAACCTAGATGTTTGAATTAGGTAATAAAACTAGATATCACTCATTCTTTGAAATTCATCGGGACTCAACGACATCTCTTTCTGCACCAACTCTCGCCGCTGTTGCAGCCTTCTCTTTCGTCGCGTTACAGCACCATCACATATCACACGCTTTTCTTCGTGGTCTATTAAGGCATGTGGAACAGGTTTTGGTATATTTGTGGCGTCGACTGCGACTTTATGATGGAAGAATGGAAGTGAGTCAAAAATTAATAATGAATTTTAATAAATTTGGTACCGCTAAGACTTGTAGAATTCACCCACCCATCGTGTAAAATCCATCATTAGTGAAAAATGTCTCGCCCGTCATAAGATTTTCTAATCATAAAAACCGATTAATATCAAAAATCGCTATCTAACATTGTAAGGCATGACGATAAAGAACGCAACAAACCAGCCTCAACTGTGACATAAACCTCCATACTCGAGTGAAATGTACAAGAGACCATTGATCGAACTGTGATACAATATCCGACATAAGTGGGTCTGAGGAACTGGAGGGAGTCGATACTTTTATATATATATATATCAAAGAATAACCATAAATTAATAACGAAAAGTAGTTGATGATATTAATGAATAATTCTAACCTAGCCAACAAAAGAAAACGTCTGGCATGTCTGGTAGCACTGATAAGACTACATTGCTCCATCCACTGCATAATTTGACCACCAAAAGTAATCTACATAATATGTAAATATCAGGCATCTTTCCCCTCTCCTTTATCGGAATAACCATAGAGATGCAAAAACAACCAACTTGTAATGTATTTGCATGTTGTGGCAGCACAGTTTCCACCACTTCGGCAAAGCTATCAGAAATTGGTTTATCATCCGGTTGTTGAATATCTTTAATCAGCGTGGATTTTCGTCGACGAAGGAAAAGTTTGGCCGGATCATCATCACTCTCGTTTGGATCTGGTAAAAGAGGTGGTATTTCAGCACTACTCATCGTTTCTGTATTTGTACGCTCTGACCATTTTCGCATAAGTTCTGCCATTTTAGTTACGTCATTTTTATGATCATTTTTGTCGATAGAATTGTTTTTACTGATACGTGCTATGCGACGTTGTTCAGCCGTATCGAAACGTTGTGCTTCGATGGCGGTAGTGGTAACAATACGAGGTACGCGAACTGGGGAGTTTGAACGTCGTCGAGTTTGACCTGCTTGTGAACTCCGTAGAGCAACGAAAGTCAAATATGCTACACATAAATCGGTGTTAGAGATAAATTTTATTATCATTATACTATAATCGAATCTTTTACCATGACAACAGTAATTTTTCTTTCCGGTCAATGGATTTTCTGTTTCTACTCGAACTCCGACCTAATAAGAGTAAATGCAAAAAATCCCTTTATGTAAGCATTATCTTATGTTAATTCTATTTCTTAAACTGAAAAAATATCCACCACATCAACAACGGTTAGCATCAAGCTTACCATCTACCACTCAATCATACCTCCATAGATGTATTCCAAGCCCTATTCACGGATGCCTGGATCACAAGAAAGTCTCCAACTTTAATCGGATGCATGAAATGCACCGCGTCAACACTTCTCGTTACCTAAAAGATTTTGATCTTTTTTAATTAACCAATTTTCACATATACGTATATATAACGAGATCTAAATAGTTTGAGTACTTTACACAAGGATTTACAGCGTGTTTTTTTGCCGCTGTTCCAGCCGCTACATCTATCCAACCGAGGACTACACCGCCGAACACAAAACCACGCGTGTCGGCATGAGACGGTAACACTATCTCTGTCATGGTGACCCTTTTTAAAACTAGTGTGTAAGTATATACTTGAAAGAACTACAAAGAGTAGTTGTAATGCCAAGCTCACCGTGATAAGGATACAGGCTTTTCCTCGGGAACATGCCGAGAAACAATAGGCTCACTTGATTGAGAAGAATCTTGTAGGAGTCTTGCATTTGAATTAAATAGCCAATTTATCGTATTTATTAACCAAACGCGAATCGCCTCTAATACCATCTTTCGTGAAATTTGATATGCAAAAATGGCGAATATTTCAGATCGTCGATTTTCTTTATAATGTTGCCTAAAATTAAAATTCAACTACAATGCATGCCAACTCGTTAAATGACTTTTTGCTTGCAAGAGAACTTGGTCTTATTCGACCAAAAAATCTTCAACTTTGGGAAAAAACTAGACGAACTTATTCTATTGCTTCATGCACGAACAAGGCATTTGCACAAGAGCATTATGCTCCTATCAACACCTTGGATATCGATTATGTCGAAGGAAGATAGTGGTACTCTTGAAAAAATTTGAATAATTCTTGTGGTTGAATTCTTTTTCGTAAAGAATATCTTTGTCACTTTATTGAATTGTTTCTTGAATGCTACATTTAGTTTACTTTCTGGTGGTGCAGATTCTGAAATACGCTTATATGATCTTGAGAATAATCCAAACACCAATTCTATTAGATCGACAGCGGTAATAAGAAAGTAAGAAAGAAAGAACGCACTTTTTTATTTGGAGAAATTAATCTGACTCATCGAATTATAAAGAAAAAAGGGCCATGATTACTCTGTTACATGTATAAAATGGGATCCAAGTAACTGTGAATACTTTATCAGTTCCTCGATGGACCAAACAATCAAAATGTGGAACATAGGAGCAATGGAAGAGAAATCAATAAAGGTAGATTGGAAATTAATTATGCTTTTTGATATTGGATCGCTTTGATGATAAATTCAAGTTTGTTTTTCTATTTTAAGAGCGTGCTTACGTTTAATTTCGATGATCATGTTTACTCTCTTGCAATATCTACAATTGCTAATCATGGACTAATAGCAGGTTTGGCAGAGTTGAATATGAATTCGATTTGCTATTTACAATTAACACGTTTATATAATAGCTGCGTTGGCGCATCCAAATATACGATTATGTGATATCCGCGCGCGTTTGGCACTTCAGTCATTGAAAGGTATGTGTCTTTGGTAACGCTGTTTTTTTTTAAATAAAAAAAAGTGTATAAAATTTTATGGGAAATAAGGTCATAAAAATACGGTTTTTCGTGTTGAATGGTCACCAATATTCGAATATATGCTAGTTTCAGCATGGTAACAATCTAGGCATTAAATTTGTTTGATTGCCATCATCATATTATTCATTGATTGAATTAGAATTTCTTCTTGAAGTGCCGATGGCACTGTTAGAATATGGGATATCCGAAGAGCAGACCAATCTTTAATTTCGTTAGATTATTTAAATAAAGGTAAAATTAACTCATATTGATGATGTTACACAACACAAAAACTCTTAAAATGTTATTCATGCTTGATCTTTATATTGGTTGATAGGTGAACCATCCTCTTTAACAAACAAAGCACATAATGGTGGCGCAAATGGACTATGTTTCACTTCAGACGGAACGCGGATACTTTCCAGCGGACATGATCAAACTATACGCTTATGGGATGTACACACAGGGAGGAACGCTATGGTCAGTTGCTGAGGAGAATCCTCTCTTACGATATTTATTAAATAATTTTCTGCTGATTATTTTCATCCCAGGTGGATTACCCAAGTATTCCAAATACAACAAGTCTTTCTTTGCCATTAGCAGTGACACCCTCAACCGACTGTTCTCCTCCATTAATATTTCATCCAACAAGTCGCTCACAAATTTTTGTGCTGGATTTATACAAAGGAATATTAATCAGACAGTTGCAAGGTTCTATGACAAGAGTCAATTGTGTTGTGTGGAGATCAAATAAACATGCAAGTAAAATTGAGCCCGTTTACCTCTTTTAAAGTTGAGATAAAATTCGCGACAACTTATAATTATTTTTTTCATATAGGAATTATATTCCGGTGATAGTGATCATAACATCCTTGTTTGGCGATCTGTTCTCGAAGATGAGAGTGAAGAAATGATGGATATGGATGATGTATTTATTATTTTTTTTTCTTGTCTGTCATTTGTCATATCATTGACCGTTGATTTATCAATTATAATAATAGGACAATAAGAATTCTTGGAGGGACAATAAGGATTCTTGGAGCGACATTGAGTAAATAATGCTGGTTTAAAAATTTGAATATCACTATATCTACATTAGTGAATCTTCTACCTAGATGTACTGCATTTGCATTACACTTGATTTTAGAAAAAAGAAAAGTTATATCAAAACGAACAGCGTAGTGGTGATAAATTCACAAAAGCATTTTACTGGTGATTTTTCAACCAGCTCAAATCTATTTTCATGCCAAAAAACAAATCTTTGATGGTACAACAAGTAAAGCAATTAATTTATAAATTATAAAAAGTTATATATAGATAAAAAAGCAAAGTTCATATTATATCTCAAATAAATTTCTAATTGTATAACAAACTTGATATCATAAAAAAGTAATTAATAATAATCAACTCAATTCTTTACCAGTTCATTCAGCAAAAGAAAAGTTGTTAGCACTTTATTATGATGACTTAAATATATTATTTTTTGAGATAAATAAATTATTAATATAATAATATAAATTAAGTCAGAAAACCAAAAATTATAAAATTCAAAGACTTTTTAGCAATTCAATTTTACTTTATATTAGTAATCAAACTATATATATTTTCTTATTTGGTAATTCCAGCATTAATACAGTATCTTATTAATCTAATTATCCAATTAATTACTAATCAACAATTAGTAATTTATTTGACTAATTATCATAAAAAAAAATAAAATTAATTTTATCACATATATAATCAAAATTACTTTCAATTTTCTAAATATATATATTATATTTCAAATTAATACTTATATAAAATAATAGTTAATGCATTTTAGATATCAATTATTAAAAATATGATTTATATTATCTAATTATAAAATAAGTTTTATCTAATTTATATAATTTCAATTGTATCTAGTCTTTTAATTTTGATAATATTAAAAAACTAATTTATAAATATGTTAGATTAAGTTTTTCTCTTTCAAATTTATAGTTTAGTTTTTTAAATTATATTATATTTTATAAAATTACTAAGGTTTAAAATCAATCACTTTTATTATTATCTTTAATTTTCAGATATTGATCAATCATCTTTTAACTAAGAATTTTAATGATTTAGTTTTTAGTTTCATTTAGTTTTGGTTTAATATAAAATTTATTAAGTAAGTTATATTTTTATTAATATGTGAATTTATGCAAGTCTATTTGATTTCAATTTTTGGAATCCTACTTTTGATCAATTAGCAATTATTAAAGTTATATTATTATATAATAATATAATTACAAATAAAGATGAATTTCTAAATTATTCTGGAGAGATATAATTATAATCTAAATTAGTTTTAATTATATTTATAAACTAATTTTAGTTATATTTTCAAATTATGTTATTATTTATTTTTAACTATAGATTATTAAAGTATAATGAATTTATTATTTTTAAAATGACTTTTTAATTAATATTAATTAAATTTTTAAGTAATTACTTTTCTAATAATAATAAATTTTAAATATTTTTTAAGATATTTATTTCTTGTATTTTTGTATTTATCTTTTTTAATAAATTTTTTTAAAATTTTTTGATATATAACTTCTATTTTAATTTTTCTATTCACAATTTAATTAGTTTATTTATGAATAAACTTTAAAATTGTACAGAAATTTGGTAATACAATCAAATTATTATATAGTTATATTTATTTATAGTTATATCATTATATAATTATTTTATTTTGCTTTTTTATTTATATATAAATATAATAAAAAAATCTTTATAATTATATTTTTTCTATAATTATCAAATTTTGCTTTTCTAAGAATAATAACTATAGAAAAATTTGATTATATATTTTCTTTTTGATTTCTTTGAAGTTAAAAATTATATTAATTAATAAAGTTAAAGTATATAATTAAAAACATGTGTATATTAATTAATAAAATTTAATTATATAATATTATAATATAAACTTTTATTATATTAATTATATTAATTATTTTATATTTTATTGAATATTTATATTATAATATTATTGGATAATATTTATTAATATTTTATTAAATACTAGATAAAAAAGATCTTATTTGCTAATATTAGATAATAGAACAAAAATAATATAATCATAGCATAATTAATTTAATAATTCTGGTAAAACTAGTATATAATTATAATAAAAATAGTAATATAATATTAGTAAAACAAGCAATTAGATTCTAGCAAAGTAGCAATAATATTATAACTAAAATAATATTTGTAAAATTATCAAATATTATAAAAGCAATATAACTTAGATAATAATTTAAAATAAGTTTGAATAAGTTTTTTATTAATAAACTTTAAAAATAATTATAAAAGCAACTCAAGTTATATTTTGTATTAGTTTTAATCTTTAAAAATAGATTATTTATAGTAAATAATATATATATAACTTGAAAATTATAAAAATAATAACAATAAATAAAGTATATAAAGATCATTTTGAATAAATCTATATTTTTGATAACTATAAGAAGAGTACTAAGTATTAAGTAATTTTTATTTATTAGAAAAATACTTTATTCATTTCTCATCTAATTAAAATAAGTTATAATATATTATAATTTTGTAAAACCTATTAATTAACAATAATTTTTATTCTTTTTAAGAATTATTTAATATTTGGTGCTTCTCTAAATAATTTGCATTATATTTTAAATAATTTGAAATATATTAATTATTTATTTAATATATTATAATTATAATAAAAATTTTACAAAATTTTATTTTAAATAATATTTATATTTTTAATTTAAATATAATTTTCATATAATATAAATAATTTAATATTATAGTATTGCTAAATTTTTTGAAGAATTATTATTTTTAAATAAGTTACTATATATAATACTAAGAAAAATTATTATTTTCAAATAAGTTAATATATATATATAATATTAATTAAAATTTTATATAAAATATAATCATGTAATTTTATAATGAAATCTAATCAATCAAAAATAATATATAAAATATTTCAGATGCTAAAAATTTCTTTATTATTATTAAAATTAATATTAAAAAATAAACAAAAAAATACATTACATTATAGAATATATTAAAAATTATTTAATAATATACAATTAAATTTCTTTATATTTATATTTGTTTATAATCATATATTTTTATAGTTATTTTGTTTTTTATTTATATATAAATATAGTAAAAAAATTTTTTTATATTTACATTCTCTCTATAATTATCAAATTTTACTTTTTTAAAAGTAATAACTATAAAGAAATTTGATTATATTTTTTTAATAATTAATTATTTAAATAAAAATTCTTTATACTTTAAAGTTATTGGATAATTTTAGATTGCTCACATCATATTATACTATAAAATTCAAATTTATTAGCTAAAAAATATTGTTAATTAAGATATAATAAATCTATTTAAAAATCTGAAGCTTTTAAATAAAATTAAATTAATTTTTCTAATATTAATATCAATAATAAGAATATTTAAGACTGAACAAAAAAAGATTTTATTTTAAAAAAGTAACTTCTAATAATTTTAGAGTAATAATAAAAAAGAATAATTTTCCAATTTTGATTATTGAATTATATTTGAATTAAGAATATAAATGTTAGAGTCAAAAAAAAAGATTAAATAAGCTAAAAGAAAACTAATAAAAATAATAGGACTTATTGAGACTGTTTAATGAAATATAATAATAATTGAATTTATTGAGACTGTCAATAAAAAAATATAATAATTTTAATATAAAATAATATAATATAACTTATTGATATAATCTAAAAACTAAAATATAGTTAAATTTCTCTATAATCGCATTTATTTATAGTTATACTCCTCTATAATTATTATATTTTACTTTTTTATTTACATATAAACATACTAAAAAAATTCTTTATAGTCATATTCCTTTTATAGTTACAAAATTTTGTTTTTTTAAGAATGATAACTATAGAGAGATTTGATTGTAAACAAAAATAATAAAGTTAATAGATTATGTAGAGTAAAAAATCATTCACTATTAGAATTAAGATTTGAAGATAATTATAAAAATAATAATATATTCACAAGTATAATATTATAAGTAAGAACTTTGTTATTTTTTATTAGATTAGAGTATGAGAGTTTTTAATAATAAAAGATTCTTTTTTTATATATTTTTAATAGTTTCTTTATTTTATATAATTAATAATTATTTTAAACTATATTACTATTTACAAATAATACTAAACAATATTAAAGAAGAACAAAAACTGAAAAATTGCACAAATTTATAAAAAAGAAAATACAAAAGAAAATTAGTTATAATTTTAGTAATTAAAAATAAGAAAAAGTGAAAGATTTAAAAAGAAGTGTTACAAGAAAAGAAAACAATAATATAAACTTGATTATAAATAAAGTTAACAAAGAAATTAAAAAATAAAAAGAATAATTGTAATATAAGTTAAGAATAATTAATTAAAATAATAAAATTAAAAATAAAAATAATTATATTGAAATAATAGTGTTACTATTTTAATATAGTTTTGAGCTTTGTCACAGGAGGATACATGAAGATGTGTAAAGCTAAGTCAGATAAAAGAGTTTATATAAATAACTTTTAAAGTGAAAAAAAATACTAAGTTATCTAAATATAGGTAACATATATTCATTTTGTTGATCAGCTAGAAAAAGATCAAAAATATTCAAAGATAATTATGTTTTTTTATATTTAATTGATAAATAAGTCAAGTATTTTTTTAAAGTTGATTTATAAATAAGTAAGATATAATTTCTTTTATTAATTTAATATTATTGATTTTACAATATAAATAAGAGATATGTATAAGATGATATAATTTCACAATAGTAATAAGAAATTATAAAACAAATACAAATAACTTTGCAATTAAGACAAGAGGTTATGAAAATACTATCTAAAGAATTATTAAAAGAATAGAAACTAAAACTTAATTAGAATTAATTATTTTCTAAAACTAAGATACATGTTCTATTTATAAGTATTTAATAATTATAAAATGATTATTTGAAATAATCATTCAGAATATTTGAAATAATTATTTGGAATAATTATTTGAAATGATTATTCAGAGTGCTTGAGATAATTGCTTGAAATAATTATTTGAAATAATCATATATAATAATAGTTTTTGATTATGAAAATATCTAATTACAACAATAGATAAGATAGATCAATAGCAAAAATATAAATTTTAAAGTAAAAAATACAAAATTAATAATTTGTAAAACAAAAATAAAGGGAGTGATATTTATTAGATTTGATCATGTAATAGTGTATAATACAAAAATAAAGAGGAAAAATAATTTGATTATCATTGAGTTATATTGTGATATACCACAATTATGAATGAACCAAAAATTAAGGAATTATGAAATTTTTAATGAAATTGATAACAATAACTCACTTAATTTACTCTCTTCAGGCAAAAAATGACTTATTCATTAATCTTTTAGGCTTTAGTTAATCATGAACATGGTCCAGATGGCTAGTTACATCATGATTTTTTGAAATATAAAATTCTGGTGGTTCTTTTTCTTAATTTTTAATTTGTAATCCTTATTTTGTAAGTTAAATTAGTCTTGGAACTAGAACAAAACTACACTATAGCATAAATAAATAAATAATTCATGTAAGTATGGTAAGTCTTAATTATTGTGATTCAATCTGATTTGTGCAAGTTTCAGCACTAGTAAATTATGTGAAAAGATGTTCAACGCGCTTTCATTTTCATGTGTTTGTCAATGATTTTATATACAAGTATTAAATCTATAAGAAAATCTATTATATCCATGGTGTCCATCCCTCGTACATGACACACAAATTATCTATATCTGTAGCTTGTCTGATCATCTTATCCACCTATTAAAAAAAAGAATTAAAAAAAAGTAGTTGCCAAGTTCCTTTTTTAATTAATAAATATCTTTTGTTACAAACCTGCTCTTCGACACTCATTTTTGTAACGGGATCAAAATCCTTTCCTTCAAGTTTTGACTTGACTCGTCGAAGTATGTTGACTGCATATGTGTTGCGAATTTGAGCTTGTTTAAGCATTATGTAATAACAATAGTAATCAGTTTTAATATTCATTCAAATTAAATACATAATAGAAAAGAATACACACCCAAAACCGTATTCACAGCCATCTGTTGTTCTGGATCTTCCCAGATATCCATAATGCCCGCAACGGAGGTATTATTATTACTATTATTATTACTACTACTATTCTTATTATTCAATGGTAGCGACAAATTATTATTATTGTTTTGTATGCTGTCTCCTATATTGAGATCTTTAAGTTCAGTAAGTTCAATTTGATCTCCTGAATTATGTTGCGCACTTTCCAAATCGAGGTTTCCAAGACTCGAGAGAAGCTTAAACAGATGTGATATAATATCTTTGATTTCTGATAAAGCTTTTGTCTAAAATTCAAAATAAACAGGTTAAAGAATCATGGTAATAAGTAATTATTATTACAATGGAACTCGTAAAATGAAAAAAATCAATCTATTTACACTTTCGTTGTGTAATCGATCAAACACCGAAACAGATTCTATAGGAGTGCTAGTAGTTTGTGTTTGTGTTGTAGTTTTCAATAAAAGTCCTTCATCATCAGCACGAAAACTTTCATCCAAAAGAGCCAGCGCAGAATTAATTACACCATCATTTTCGGCATCAAGCTTCGACCAGTCACCAAGTGATTCCTTTCAAATACATTTTTTTGTTTAAACAATCGATTGTTAGGCAATTAATTCTTACATTGATAAAAAAAAAAAGGTTGAACATAATCTAATAATATACCTTTGCTTTCAGTCTTGCCTCTTTGATAGTTTCCTCGGTATCCGAGTCGATACTCGTAACAAGCTCAATCAATGGAACCAATTCTATCATTAATGTTCGAAATTCGTCAAAGGTATTGTGAAATTTTGTGGCAAGATCTTGAAGTTTTTGCGGAAGTTCTGTGTCGGAAAAGTTCAAAGCCTGCATATGATGTTAACAAAATGGCGTTAGAATTAATACATAAGATCTTATAATTTATTCATTTACCTTGTTTTGCAAAGGTTGACCAGAATTAGCTTCCTCCTTTTCACCATTGGTTCTTTGATATGTTAAATTAGAATAATTTAATTATTATTTCAAAAATAATTGCACATGGATACAGTAAATAAATGTGACACTCACCCCATCAATGCAACTTCATACATATGAACCAGATTCAGAGTATCAGTATCCATAGCTTTAGTCTTTTCAGATATGTTGCGAAAAGTTTCTAAATGTATCAACGAATTACAGAGTGCGATAACGTGCTTGATCTGTAAAAAATCAGAATGATAAAATGATAGATCACGAAAAAAAGAATAATTATTATTATACATAATCTACTATCATCGCTATTATTATTATTATTATTATTATTATTATTATTATTATTATTATTATTATTATTATTATTATTATTATTATTAT